GTGTCTGTGTGTGTGTGTGTGTATGTGTGTGTATGTGTGTGTGTGTGTCTGTGTGTGTGTGTGTGTGTGTGTGTCTGTGTGTGTGTGTGTCTGTGTGTGTGTGTCTGTGTGTGTCTGTGTCTGTGTGTCTGTCTGTGTCTGTGTGTGTGTGTGTGTGTGTGTCTGTCTGTGTCTGAGATGGTGTGTTTGTGTGTCTGTCTGTGTGTGTCTGTCTGTGTCTGTGTGTGTCTGTGTGTTTGTGTGTGTGTGTGTGTGTGTGTGTGTGTGTGTGTGTGTATGTGTGTCTGTGTGTGTGTCTGTGTCTGTGTGTGTCTGAGTCTGTGTGTTTGTGTGTGTGTGTGTGTGTGTGTGTGTGTGTGTGTCTGTGTGTGTCTGTGTGTGTGTCTGTGTGTTTGTGTGTGTGTGTGTGTGTGTTAGGCCTGGACGATATAGAAAAAAAGCATATCGATAAAAAATAAATCATATTGATCGATATCGATTATTATCGATATAATTATTATAATTATTTAACATATATTTTAATTGCAGCCCTGGATGTTTTATGCTATTGCTTAATGACCTACTTTAAAAAAAGAACACACAAGCACTGAATTCAAATCCAAACCTTTATTCAACCACCTTTTTTTTTTTTTTACCACAACTGAAAGTTTTTTAAAAAAGAACTTTAAAAAAAAGAAATCAACTTAAGTGGCCTGAGTGACGTCAGTAAATACTGACAAACATAAAGACTAAAGTGACCAGAAAATCTGATAAATAAATATTTAAATAGTCTTTTGATGAAAATAAACAAAACAAACAAATATATAAATAAACAGAATAGCTTTAGGTGGGAATAGCATACTACCAGTTTTAACTGTGTGAGAAACTGCCCACAGCCTGGTGTCTGAACACTGAAATATTTCTCCCGGGGTCGGGAGATTTATTTTTTTTAATTATCATGTGATTGACTTATTAAACGAACTAAGCACGAGAAGCAGGACTTATCCACGCCGGTGTTGTGTCGTAGAATGCACCCCTGCCGAATGCCCCCCCTGCTAGTAGCCATGATCCAAATACTCGCGTCTTTGTAAAATATGAGCTCATTTTCTTCCACTCTAAGAAGCTAATGAGTGGACGGGATACAGGGGTGCATTCTACAGCACAACACCGGAACGTATTTCCTCCGCACCCTTCTCACCTTTTCAACCCCTGACCCATTTTCATGCCTGAAGCGCTGTGTTTGAGAAATACTTGCGGCCGGGCACTTCATATCGCGGGTCGAGAGTGGCTAGAAGCTGGTCGAAGCCAGGCTTTTCAACGGTAGTTATTGGCAGTATGTCCCTCGCTATGGAGCATGTTACTGCATGGGTGATGTCCTTATGCCGCTCGGACGCTTTGTCGTATTTTGGCAAGAAACGAAGTCCAGTTTGGTCTGCTTCACTTGCTTTGTGCTGGTGCTGGCAGCGGTTCCAGAGGATTCCTCCGACGACGACGTGGAGCCGCGGCGCGGCCGACACAGCTCGTACTCCTGCGGGTGCGATCGGTTTAGATGGTAAAACAAGTTGGTTGTGTTACCGGACTTGGTTTTTACTAATTCTCTGCAAATTTTGCAAACGACCGCTGTTCGCTTTTTGTCAGACTTCTAAAAACCAAAACATTGCCATGCTGGTGAAGTACTGAAACCTTTTTTCGGGACAATGTCCTCCGCTTCTCCTTGCTGTATCATTTTTTCTAATACACGTGCTGTCTGTTGTGGTTTGATAGGGGCTGGGCTTGGTGCCGTAGCGTACCTGGGTCTGCGTTTGTGATTGGTTTGGAGGAAGTAATGACTGTAGTAAAAGCTACATGATAGGCTATGATGAAAAAGAAAGGGAAACTGTGTTTTTCTATCGAACTTTTTATCGACCGTTTTTTTTTCTATCGCTCCACACGTCTATCGATCGATATATATTGTTATCGAATTATCGTCCAGCACTAGTGTGTGTGTGTGTCTGTCTGTGTCTGTGTGTGTCTGTGTGTTTGTGTGTGTGTGTGTCTGTCTGTCTGTGTCTGTGTGTGTCTGTGTGTGTCTGTGTGTGTGTCTGTGTGTCTGTGTGTGTCTGTGTGTGTGTCTGTGTGTGTCTGTCTGTGTGTCTGTCTGTGTGTGTGTGTGTCTGTGTGTGTCTGTGTTTACATGTTCATAGATCATTTTTCACCGTCAGTAGAAATCGGCATTCCTGTGTTTTTCTAAGTTTACATGAATCTCTCTCAGACACAAACAGCAGGTTCAGACACACTAAGATTTTCTATGTCACAAATCGAAGCTCCGCCCCTTTCGCCCCTCTCTGTGTTAGCGGTGAGTGTGTGTGTGTGTTAGTCGATTGTAACGAAGTTAATTGATTCCTATAGACATGAGTGTCTCAGAGCCGAAGAGCTCCGATGTTTCCTGATACTTCTACGACAACAGCGGCCGTGTTCAGCTACAAGCTAGCATAAAAGGGGGGGTGCAGAGCAGCGCTGACTCCGCCCACGACTCAGGGGTGAGTTACTAATGAGCTCCTGGAGCTCTGCAGAAGAAAAGTCGTTAAAAGTGACGAAAGAAACGAGATTTAGAATAAAAACTTCATCGTCAAAATTTAAAGAGAAAACTTATCGTAATAAAATAAATCGATCGGAGTGAGACGTTAACATCGTATCTGACGATCGTATCTGATCATGTGACTGACTGACTGACTGACTGACTGACTGACTGACTGATCCAGGTGAAGAGTCTGGACTGAACAGGAACAGTCTGTTAGACAGTGAACACCCGTGCACTCACTCACTCACACACACACAGACACACAGACACACACACACACACACACTCACACACACACACACACACACACACACACACACACACACACACACACACACACACACACACACACACACACACACACACACACACACACACACACACACACACACACACACACACACACACACACAGCCCCCCCCCCCCAGTTAGGACACTGCTGCCTTGTGTAAAGAGAAGTGATACTTGAGCTGACAGAGTGTGTTTGTGTGAGAACAGACGGCTCGGTGTACAGAGAGAGAGAGAGGGAGAGAGAGGGAGAGAGAGGGAGGGAGAGAGAGGGAGAGAGAGGGAGAGAGAGGGAGAGAGAGAGAGGAAGAGGGAGAGCGAGAGAGGGAGGGAGAGAGGGAGGGAGAGAGGGAGGTAGAGGCTGCAGGTCAATACTCTCTCTCTCTCTCTCTCTGGTTGTTGGTTTGACCAAAACAGTTTCCATGAGATAAACAGACAAAGTCGAATCTCGAGACAGAGAGTTCAGTCTGAACTAACCTGGATAAACTCTTTAACTAACCAGGTTAGTTAAACTCCAGGTTAGTTAAACTCCTGGTTGGTTAAACTCCTGGTTAGTTAAACTCCTGGTTAGTTAAACTCCAGGTTAGTTAAACTCCTGGTTAGTTAAACTCCAGGTTAGTTAAACTCCTGGTTGGTTAAACTCCTGGTTGGTTAAACTCCAGGTTAGTTAAACTCCTGGTTGGTTAAACTCCTGGTAAGTTAAACTCCAGGTTAGTTAAACTCCAGGTTAGTTAAACTCCTGGTTGGTTAAACTCCAGGTTAGTTAAACTCCTGGTTGGTTAAACTCCAGGTTAGTTAAACTCCTGGTTCATGTAGATTCTCATTCATCCAGGTCATGGTTTTCTTGAAGACTCCAAAAACAGGCGACTGGACTGTGTCGAGTTGAGAAGACGTTTCTCCTCTTCTTCTTCAGTTCTAAATATTGCTGTTATGAGGAGCAGATATTTATCTTGCTGGAGAAGGGGACAGGGTCGTAGAAACCCATCTCCGGGTGTTCCCCCCTGAGGGTCGGGGTAAGTTCGGGGTTTCCTGTTCTACGACGTGGGTTCACTTCTTAGCGAGGCGAGTCTCCATAGCAACATACGCTGAACGGCTAACCTGCTCCGGGGCAGGTTAAGTTCCAGATTGAACTCACCGAGTATAAAAACCCCGCCCACTGACCAATGAGCTCTCTCGAAAAGCGGCTTGTCCGTTCTCGGAGGATCCTGTAGACCTCGGTGCTCGCATTGTCCGAGGAGGAGCACTCCGGCTCGCAAGAGTTTTCAGGGACCGCACAGACCCACTTACTTCTCCGGATGACCACCTTTATGAAAGGCTCATGATGCAGCGGGCTCCGCCTTACATGTGTGCACGCGCTCATAGCAAAGCTGGATCAACTTACGAGGTTGATGACCAGTATCGTAAAACCGTGTAGCGAGACCGCTGGCTACCACGCTAAGTTGAGCGAGGTAGCTCCAAGGCGACCTTGCTAGGTTGAACCTGCTTCGTAGAACAGACCCCTGACCTGAGGGAGTGGCTCTCCTGTGTTGAGCCATGCGCTTGTGAAGCGGTTGTTTAGTTTCCCCAATGTACAGGTCCGAGGAGTCCTCGCTGCACTGGACGGCGTACACCACATTACTCTGTTTATGTCTCGGTGTTTTGTCCTTGGGACGGACTAGCCTCTGCCTCAGTGTGTTACCAGGCTTGAAGTGAACAGGAATGTGGTGTTTGCCAAAGATCCTCTTAAGTTTTTCCGACAGGCCTGCAGCGTAAGGGATTAAAGTGCTCCTGCGTCGCTCCTCCCTTTCCTGTTCAGTGTTATTTCTCTTTCTGTTCTTCACGAAGGCCCACTTAGGGTATCCACAGGTTGTCAGGGCGTTTTTGATGTGCTTTTGTTCCTTTTCCTTACCTTCTTTCTTCGTGGGAATATTCTCAGCCCGGTGGTTGAGTGTTCTGATGACACCCAGTTTGTGCTGCAGAGGATGGTGGGAATCAAAAAGTAGATATTGATCCGTGTGTGTGGGTTTCCTGTACACTTCAACGTTGAGACACCCATCTGCCTCCAAGTGTACAGCACAGTCCAAAAAGGCCAGCACATTGTCCTTGACATCTTCACGGGTGAACTTGATGTTGCTGTCCACTGTGTTGATATGGTCAGTGAAGGCCTCTACTTCATGTGTTCTGATCTTAACCCAGGTGTCATCCACATATCTGAACCAGTGGCTGGGTGCTGCTCCTTTGAAGGAGGTTAGGGCCTTCCTCTCTACCTCTTCCATGTACAGGTTTGCCACCTTTGGAGGAACCGGGGAGCCCATGGCACATCCGTGTTTCTGTCTGTAATGGCGCTCTCTGAACTGGAAATAGGTGGTGCTGAGGCAGATGTCCAGTAAGGAGCAGATGTGGTCGGGGGTTAAGTTGGTTCTGACTTCCAGTGTGCTGTCCTGTAAGAGGCGTTTTCTTACTGCTTGGACTGCCTCTGTTATCAGAATACTCGTGAAAAGTCATGTGACATCATAGGAAACCATGGTTTCATCTGGGTCCAGCCTGATGTCCTTGAATTTCTCAGCAAAGTCCTGGGAGTTTTTGACGTGGTGAGTGGTGTGGCCGACAAGAGGAGCGAGGAGGTAAACGAAGGTTAACGACCCTTTCAGGTAAACAACTTGGGGGAGGAACACCCGGAGATGGGTTTCTATGACCCTGTCCCCTTCTCCAGCAAGATAAATATCTGCTCCTCATAACAGCAATATTTAGAACTGAAGAAGAAGAGGAGAAACGTCTTCTCAACTCGACACAGTCCAGTCGCCTGTTTTTGGAGTCTTCAAGTAAACTCCTGGTTAATCTGATTAGTTAAACTCCTGGTTAGTTAAACTCCTGGTTAGTCAAACTCCTGGTTAGTTAAACTCCTGGTTAGTTTAACTCCCGGTTAGTTTAACTCCTGGTTAGTTAAACTCCTTTACTTTTGTATAGCGGCCCCTGGTGCCTCGGTGGTCCTCAATAGAGTGTGTTTAATAATTAGTGATAATAAGAGCTCGACTGTCAATGTCTGTCAACATCATCTCCATAGTAACCGCAGCACATCGACCGCCTGCCTACTGGGTCGGTGCAGGTCAAGTGTTCTGAGCCTTAACAAACCACAAGCTGTGACCTTTGACCCCTGCCTGTTTGACTAATGCAGCTCTCGCTCCAATCTGGTTTATCGGCGTGACGGGCTGTCGTCTCTTCCTGTCAGACTAAACATCGCCACCGTCAGTGTGGACTCGTCTCACACACACACACACACACACACACACACACACACACACACACACACACACACACACACACACACACACACACACACACAGTGATCGGAACACACTCTCATGTTGACAGACTCAGAGTTCGATCATCTTCAGAATTAGTTTAAAGGTCTTAGTGGGTAAAATCGATAAAATAATGAAGCATTCTGGGTATTTGGAGAAACAACATGACGCAGTTATCTGTAAATGAGAGCTCTGAGCAGATAGAGGGCGCTACAGCGCCGCCCCTCTGTCTCACAGCAGTCGAATCACACAGCCTTTGTTTTAGGGTTTTTTAAAAATGACTTTAACATGTTTATCCTGAATTTTAAAAAGGTAAATTAAAAAATCTAAAAGGGATTTTGAGAAAGTCTGTTTAGAAAAGTCCGACGTCACCTACAGTTACTAATCATTGACAAATATCCGTCCAGAGGCGCACACATCTGTCCCCATTAACTCTCGTTTGACACGCCCAGTTTGTTCCTCTTCAATACAGCAGATAGGAGACGGCGGGCCGCAGCCTGACCACGCCCTCCTGTCTCCCTCTGGGCGCTTTACTGCTGTCCACCACCGGCCATGGGATGGCAGCAGAGAGCGAGCGGTTTGTTTACCTGCTTGCCTGTAAATTAAACCACCAAGCGAGAGTTTCGGAATAATTAGCAAAAAAGATTTTTATCAGTCACAGAGAGAGACGAAAAAGGAGAAAACTCGGTGAAGTCAGAGAGGAGAAGGCTGAAGGAGAAGTTTAGAGTGAAGGAGCTCGGACCGGACGGGACCGGACCGGACCGGACCGGACGGAGGTTTTAATCACAACAATTAATCATGAATAATTATTCATTATAATTATACAGCAGTCCGAAGACGAAGGGAGGAGATTTTCAGGGTCTTTGTCACGAACAGCGGCCTGGACTACGAAGCTGGATTTGATCTTAGATAACTTCTGGATTACTCCTGGGTTTTCTGTACTACCATGATTACTTTCTATCCGGGTCCGTTACCCCAGTAACCTGGGCTCCGGAGCAGGTTATGTTTCAGGAAAAGATCTCAGCGGGTGAAAAAAGACCGCCCACTGACCAATCGGATCTCTCGAAAATGGCTTTAACGGAATATATGACTCAGCTGTAGTGTTTAAGTGTCCTCTGGTAGTTAAAAACAGTAACTCTTGTTTGTGAATGAACATTAATTCTTGTGTTTTTACATCGCCGTCTCTGCTCTTTGGTTCGGTAAATGAAGTGAAAAATTCACCAAGAGTGATTTATTTCCTCTCTGCTCCTGAACAGAAACATTAAACAGGAACAAAAAGGTCATTGAACAGTTTATAGAAAGAGTTTTTAAAAGCTGAGAGCTCTGCTGTCATCAATTATTCACTTCTATTATGTCTGAACACGAGTGTGTGTGCTCACTTTGTTAATAGATAAAAACTTCATGTAAAATTCATGCTGCAAAGATAAATATGATCACAGCGTTTTCTTCATGAACTAAATACACAAAAAGGAAACGAGAGATGAGACATGATTGAAACCTGTGAATGACGGGACGCTCTCATGGTTATGAGGTTCAAAGGGAGGGAAGGTAGTGTTCTTCATAATGGATGAAATGGTCGACCCTGAAAGTCGTCAATTCACGATGTGAAGATGTAGATCTGACCAAGAAGACTGTTTGGATTTTATTTTTCCAATAAATATTTTATTTGATCTCGTTTGTCGTCTTTACGAAGTCTTCGCTGATGTGACGATAATGATCATCTAATGGTCTGGTGCTAAAGGGGAACGAGCGTCTGTTTGTGGGCGGGGCCTGATGGATCGGCGAGTGTGTGTGTGTGTGTGTGTAGGGGGGTTAGGGTTCATCACCTCAGACCACACCCCCTTCAGATTCACTGTTGGACTTCTGTGAACGGATGAATTAAAATCACAGTTTTGTGTAAATCCTTGAATTTGACGGTTTTCGTTGTTTTTAGAGATTATTGATTATTGATTATTGATTCGATCAATCAACCTGCAGAGAAGTTTGTTCTTCTGATCTCCATGGCGGTGCAGTCTGACCTTCAGGGACTCTGAGCAAACAGGAAACAGGAAACACTCTGCGAAATCACTGACCTCTCGTTGGCTCCCAGTGGGGTTGTGGGTAATGTAGTTGGCTGTTGTCAGGGGTGCAGGTGGACGTTGGTCCTGCAGGATAAGGAGATTTTTGTGGGTCAGGAGGTTGTGGGGTTGATGTTTATCTGTTTGACCTTTGGGATGAAGTGAGTAGCGTTAGAGAGCAGGAAGTGGTTATCTTATGGAGAGGAAACTACTTCCTGTAGCAGCATATGGACAGGAAACTGAGCGGAGAGGTTTCCACGAGCGTGTTTCATGACAACTTCAGGAAAAATAAGAAACCTGTCAGAGAAACCAGTCACATGTCAGAGAGCAGGTTTCTGCAGAGAAACAAAGACACTGAAGGTCACCTGGTTCACCTGTAGAGGGTCTCAGGGTCCGTCTTCTTGTTACTCTGTCTTCGTTTGGTTTGGTCTGTTTCGGTTTCACACTGTTATTACTGCAAACAGACGTTACATGACGAACCTTGTGATATCGCCATCAACGACGTACTTGGCATGTGTCTGTAGTTTCCACTGATTGGTCCTTTGGCCGGCGGCGTTCTGACATCATCACGTAAAAGAGGGCGGGTCTTGAATGATGTAAACATAAATGAAATCAATAGTCTGGATAATTTGATCGTTAGACGACAAATTTATCGTGGTCGACAGAAATGAAGAAGAAAGGAAGTAAACCTGCAAACGGCTCCGGAGAGGAAGTCTGTGAACCTCTGAGGTCAGCTGAGGTCGAATTCTTACGAGAGCACTTCCTGTTCAACAGATGTCATTTCCTGTCTTTGGTATGAAGGTCCAAACCTTTCAAAATAAGACTTTCACACTGGGCAAGAACCAGACCGTGGTCCAGCTCGGTCCAGACTGAGACCCGCTTCTTTGGTGTGAAAGTCCCTAAAGTCACGTTCAGGTGTGGGTTTATCTACACATGTCCTAATCACCTGTGTGTGTGTGTGTTTTTCATAGTTGGAACACACACACTTAAACAAACACACTCTCTGTTGTCATGGTAACAGTTGGTCAATCAGCTGGTCTCAGTCGGTTTCAGATTTTCACTCAAAACTTCAGAATCACCGACTGTCTGAGTTCCCTCTCCTCTCTCCCTCCTCTTCCTCACCTTCGCTGTCCCCCCACCTCTTTCTCCTCTCTCCTTCCTCTTCCTCACCTTTGCTGTCCCCCCACCTCTCTTCCTTCCTCTCTCCCTCCTCTTCCTCACCTTCGCTGTCCCCCCACCTCTCTTCCTTCCTCTTCCTCACCTTCCTCTCCTTCGCTGTCCCCCCACCTCTCTTCCTTCCTCTTCCTCCTCTTCCTCACCTTCGCTGGTATTTAATGAGATGGTGACTTTTATTGGTTTTTCAATCAGCTGCTGATTTTAATTATAGTTTTCTGGTTTTTTGGACGGAGGACAACGCTGAAAGGTCAAACCCACTGAAGGTCAACCTCACCTGACCTGAACTTTGATCTTGGACTTTGTGGTCTTTGTGTCCACAGAGTCTTCAGTCTCAGACTCAGGTCTGGTCGTAGTTACAGACTGAACTTATTCTGCTTTGAGGGTTCTTTCTTCCTTGTATGGAGGATGTGCTCATCAGCGCCCCCTTTATCAAGTTCCATCCAGAAACCTCAGTGAAGCAGTGAAACCAGTGAGTTTATCTGCTGTGACAGGAGGGTAGGAACCAAAACGCTGCCAGATTGTGGTTCCTACCCTCTCTTTGTCTGTGTTCCTATTAGATGTGACGGATCATATTGAAGGGAAGTGGGATGTGAAAATATCTGAGTGCTGCCAAAACCAGCCAGGCTGTGTGTGTGTGTGTGTGTGCTGAATAAAAGGCACACTGAAAGGCATTATCATTGTCTCTCTCTCTCACACACACACACACACACACACACACACACACACACACACACACACACACACACACACACACACACACACATTTAGACAGCAGTATCGATTTAAGGCTCAAATAAACACAAATCCACTCCACATATCGACTGACAGCAGAGCTTAGACAGTCTGCACACACACACACACACACACATGCACACACACACACACACACATGCACACACACACACACACACACACACACACACACTCTTGTAAGGATGAAGTCATAGTTTGATGACGGTCTGTGAGTAACAGTGAAAAATGAACCTGCAGGTAAAATCAGCAGCAGATTATCTGAACATGTTCAACAATAAAGACGAGATTTTAAAAAATTCAAATAAATCCTAACCAATCACACAGCAGGACTGTAGGAACAGCCAATCAGTCTGCAGCAGTTAGCCCATTACCCATGATGCACTTGTGCCGAACGTCATAAACCTGTAAAGACAAAAACAAAATCTGAGATTGACGATGATCGCTGAGTCAGCAGACATCAGAGATTCTGGACCTGATGGGACCAGGATCAGTTTTTACTGACAGACCAAATCAGTCCGAACTGCAAAGGATTGTGGGAGAGGTGACAGTGTGTGTGTGAGTCTGAAATCCTGCCGTTATTTAACCACCTCTCTGCTTATTCAAAGGTCAAAGGTCAAAGGTCTGATTGGGAAGCGTCTCTGTATCAAGATTGTTCAGAGAAAATAAAGATTTGTTGATCGATTGATCGATTGATCGATTGATCGAAGTATCTTGTCATTTGTTGTGTCTTTAGTCACTGTTGTCAGATTTTGTTGAATTCGTTCAGTCAGCTGTTTAATCGGACCATCACTTCCTGTCCACTCAGTGGTTTGATGACTCAGCAGGTAAAAAAACAGAGCGCCACTTCCTGTTTCCTGTTGCTGCCCTGACGTCCGGTCCGACATTTTTAAAGTCCCTCAGTTCCTGCTGGAAACATTCGTCCGCTCTCTTCTGCTCGTAAAAAGACGTTTTGTCGGTTTTCTGGATGTCCGAGTATCACGGGGAACAGCTGTTTGAATCTATAGGTCAGAATCTGGATCTAATGTGGGGGACATCTACTCTACAAAGACAGATTCTGCGTACGTCTGAATTTCTCCTGAGTTTGAGAGAGAAGTCTGATTTTTCAGCGCAGACAGGAACACCGTCACGCTGCTCCTGAACTCAGTATTTAGACTCTCCACCGAACACTGAATCAGGTCGAATCATTCATGATCAGGTTTGAAGTCTGTGTCTGTAACCCTCAGCATTGACCAATCAGGTGTCTGCAGGTTTTAGGAGGAAGTCAGTCCTCCAGAAAGACCTCCAGCTCCCATGGTTGGTGATCTGAGGAGGATTTCTGTCTCTGTATCTCAAACATTTACTAAACCAGAGTTCAGATTTACAGCGTCAGAGATTACACCTCTAGACGTGAGGCTCGACTCAGAAACACACCAAGGACACACACCGATACAGACGGACTCTACAGGGCAGCTGTCACAGGAAAAGGAGAATAAACCAAAAAAACGTAAAAATCCTGAACCTGCAACAGAAAAACCGGATATTTCTACAAACCAGGTCATTAAACTTGAAGTGAGCGAAGGATTTCCTGCTGAAGGGGGCGACCCGTCCGGACAGAGGTGAAGGTATTAAGCTGCAGAGACGGTTTTTATCGAGTGTTTGTAGACATCAGGTCCAGATCTGTCTTTATTTATCAGAGAGTTCAGAGGAACTGGAATCATCTGACCTGTAAAGACCTTCAACATGCTGTTTCTAATGTTGAGTTATTAGGAGGAATATCATGTTTCAGAGTTGGTAAGATGTTCCTGCCCTCTGCTGTAAACTGAAGGATCAGGATATAAAATCCTGTTTTTACAGATGTTACCTGCTGTGACGTTTCCACGTCTCTTTATGGTTTTATTCTTCCCGTCAGCAGCAGCAGCAGAACAGCTGATGGATGGAGGTCTGCGTGAGGGCCTACCAGGGATTACTGCAGATTTACCTTCAAACAGCATTAACTCTGCAGGATGATGGAGGGATGATGGACCATGTTTGCTGCAGCAGATGAAGGATTTATCTTTTTATTTTCATGTTTTGAATCAGATTATCTCGTCTTTTTCCTCCACCTGTTGATCACAACGTACCAAACACCGTCTCTGTGTCCTGATCCGGAATCCTTCTCACTCACGTCAGACGAGTCATTTAGATTATGGTTCCGGAAATCAATCATACTAATTAAACTTCCAGCAGTATTAATGTCCGTTATTTTCCTGCTCTCGGATCAGAACAGACACAAACCCGACAGCGAGGATCAGAACTCTGAGATGACTCCATCAATCAACGCAAGACAAGACGAAAAGGTCCAGACTGTCCTCCAAACCAGACCTCAGTCCCAGAACCTTCAGAGAAAACCTCTCAGTAAAAAATAAAAGAAGAAGAGTTTGACCTTCCAGAACCGTCCAGAACCGGGTCATAATAAAAGAAAACAACTTTAATCCAGATCTGTGAATCCTGAGGAGTCATCAGGGGGACGACCGACCGACCAGATCTGAGCGAGAGATCTGTCAGCGGAGAAAACACAAGAGAACCGGGTCAGAACCGGGTCAGAACAGAACCAGGACAGAACCTGTCAGCTGAGAAAACACAAGAGAACCGGGTCAGAACAGAACCAGGACAGAACCTGTCAGCTGAGAAAACACAAGAGAACCGGGTCAGAACCGGGTCAGAACAGAACCAGGACAGAGTCAGATCAGAGTCGGGTCAGACTGATCTGAAGACTCTCTTCCTTTTCAGGCTCAGATCTGAATGTTCCCCTCTGAAAGTTCTGGAGTCAGTCGGGTCGGGTTTCAGGTGTTTAGGGACATTTCTAAGGTTTCAGTTTGACTTGAAAAGGTCCAACAGCTGATTTCATGAAGGCAGTCGAACTCTCTGTGTCAACATGAAGACCTGGTCTTTGGACCAGGTACCGGTCATGTGTGAACTTGTAATCTCCTCAGGTATGAGACGGTTCTGTCAGCAGAACCCGGTTAACCCGAACCCTTTAGTTTGTGACACAAACACGTTTCCTGTCCATGAGATCATGTGATCCAGAGGGGTTTCTCCTCCCTCGCTCCTCTTTAGCTCCTCCCCCTCACAAAAACTTTGACCTTTGACCACAAGAAGACATGAACCTCCTCCTCTTCTTCTCCTCCCGCTCTGCAGGTGATGTGGTGGACATCTATCAGGGGGAGTTCCTCGCATTGAGGGAGCGTCTCCACTCGGCGGAGCAGGAGAATCTGCGGCGCTCTAAAGAGCTAAACCTGGTCCTGGAGGAGATCAAGAGGGCCATCGCTGAGAAACAGGCTCTGAGGGACATCAACCGCACCTGGAGCAGCCTCTCAGGTGAGCCCACATCACCTGGAGATTCACACCTGAGAGTGTGACTCATGACAGGTACGGGGGGGGGGCATTAATTAACTAAACACGTAATAATCAAAATAAACACGAGTCAGGAAAACAAAGAGACGCAGACGAACATGTTTCTGTTTTTACTCCACACTGTGACTTTTAGGATTCAGCTTCTTTAGTTTCTTTGTTTAATATTTAAAATTAATTATAGTCAACTTTCTCTTTTTTTCTGGGTGTTGATGGTAAAATTTTCCTTTGAGTTTCATACAAAAAACAAACTGAAATCTACGAACTCCGTGAATTTAAACAGTCGAACACATAATGAGTTTGAAGGATCTCTGTATGATCGATTACCGATCATTCATATTGATCTTTTCAGTGAAGTGAAAAATGTCTGGATGGAGGTTTTATTATCCGAGTCGTTCTTTAACATGATCGATTATTTTCACCGACTTCAATACTGAGTCTAACCTGGTCTAACCTGGTCAAACCTGGTCCTATCTGGTCTAACCTGGTCTAATCTAGTCTAACCTGGTCTAACCTGGTCCTATCTGGTCTAACCTGGTCCTATCTGGTCTAACCTGGTCTAACCTGGTCTAACCTGGTCCTATCTGGGGTTAACTGAGATCATCTTTATGTTTGATCCAGTCTCACCTTAAATCACCTGGTCTGATCTGGTTTTGTTTCTCACCTGGTCCCGTGTCCTCAGAGGAGACCAGGCTGAAGTTGTGGAACGTCAGCAGCAGTAAGAGCGTCCTGCAGCTTCCCTCCATCTTCCATCATCTTCCTCATCTGCTGAGTCGAGAGGACAGCCTCCTCCCCGCCGTGCACCTGGGACAGGGACGCACTGGAGGTAAAAACAAACACACCCTCTCAGGAAACTCTCTACACTGTATTTATCTAGATCTGGGTTCACACACACACACACACACACACGCACGCACGCACGCACGCACACACACACGCAAAGCTAACAACGTCAGTATCACAGTCAATATCGGAGCTAACGTCGCGGTAGCGTCACCAGCGATTAGCGTTAGCTCCATGCTAACTCAGCTAGCGCTCTTAATAAAGTTCGTTTCCATGGTTCACAATCAAACAAAGAGAACCACGGTGGACTCAAACATCAGGAAACAGTCCTGAAGCTCCGATCAGTCTGAGAAAAGTCTCTCAATGACGGACATTTTCACAGAACAAGCTAACAACGAAGGCTAGCCTCTTAGCATGTAGCAACCACTCTTACCGGAAATGTCTCTGAGGGTGAAGAGGTTTTCCAAAATAAAAGACCCAAACTCGCCCCTAATAAGTCAAAGACTCTTTAGACAATTCTTCAAGCTGGTAAACCACAAATGTCTGACTTCTTTTTGTCTTTATTACCAAAGCTGTCAGCTCACTCTCTAATGAGGCTGACCATGTAAACAGCTGAGACGCCACCTTGTGGTGAGACATTGTAAACGCTTTTAAATCACATAAAAGGGTTTAATACAGAAACGGGTTACATGTTATTTTCTCCTTCATCTGAATCATCAGCAGGCTGACCTTTATCTAAAATACACCATCTCTGTGTGTGTGTGTGTGTGTGTGTGTGCGTGTAGTGTCCATCGTGATGGGGGTCCCCAGTGTGAAGAGGGAGGTCCACTCGTACCTGACCGACACACTCAGCTCTCTGATGTCAGAACTCAGCGCCGCTGAGAAGGAGGACTGTGTCATCGTGGTCCTCATCGCCGAGGTCAGTGACCCTGTGTGTGTGTGTGTGTGTGTGTGTGTGTCTGTAAAGGTCAGTGCTTTAGCTGATTAAGTTCATTCAGGTGAAATAGAGCGACGGATCAAACCGGACTGAGAGGGTCCAGATCAGAGACTCTGTGGTCCATCGATGAAGATTCTTCTGTTTCATAGTCTTCATCAGTCCAGGAAAGACCCTCTGAGGGTCTTAGATCTGAGAACCTCCAGGATCTGTTTTGAGCTCGTTGTTCAGTATCTTCTCCAGCGTTGAGTCTCTCAGACAGGATCAGTGTGTTTGGATCGTAGCAGCAGCAGCAGCAGCAGCAGCAGCAGCAGCAGCAGCAGCAGCAGCAGCAGCAGCAGCAGCAGCAGCAGCAGCGTAGTGAAACGACACGCTCACAGCAGGTCGTTCTTCCTCTCTGTGGTCGATTTCCTGATAATTCTGATCTAACTCAGTGACTGTTGATCCTCGACTGTCTGTGAAGAAGCTTGAAGTGATTTTCCAGTTTGTGTTTTTTCAGGTTTATTCATGTTTAATAAAGTAAACTCTGTTCCTGTTGGGTCCACATGGACCATCAGATTGTTCTGTTCCTGATAAATCCAGAACCAGGAAGGATTCCTCATCTACACCAACTGATACACAGTTAGGAGTTCACAGATGGGCTTTTATTTTGACATGTACAGTATTACTGTTTGACTTCCTGTCTAGAACGACCTTCTCTGTGTGGATTGACACTCATTGGAAGCGTAGATCAGCAGAAATCCACTCGCCGTGTATCTTTAGCAGAGCTGCTGTCGAGTCGATGCTGCAGCTGATAATCGTCTTTTAACGCTTTACTGCGAGATATGAGACGCCGCCGCCGTTCCGCTCCAAATACACGGATCCTGGAGGTTTTAGTCTTAAGGTCAGGCTGTACGTGTAGGTGGGCGTAGGTGGGCGAGGGTCTGGAGCGAAGATCGCTCTCTTCTTGTCCTGGTTCTGGTTCAGGAGGAAGAAAACCGGAGCAGACGTGTTTGAATTGTTGGAAAGAAAAAGTCGAACTTGAAACTTTATCAAACATTTTATTTTCATCGGTGGACCGGGTCAGAATTTCAGAATCAGCTGTTGTCCTTGTGGGCGGAGTCACATTATCACCTCAATAGTATGTATGTGTGTGTGTGTCTGACTCTGTGTTTGTGTGTTTTCAGGCTGACCAGCAGTACGCCAGCGCTGTAGCAGACAACCTGAAGCGCCTGTAAGTCCACCGCCATGATGGTGCCGTTTCTATGGCAACAGACCCAAAGGATTCTACTGTGTGTGTGTGTGTGTGTGTGTTTGTTTTCAGAGCGAAGAAGAATTACACACACACACACACACACACACACACACACACACACACACACACACACACACACACAGATGGAGGTTTCCTTGGTCAGATTACAGACTGTGGGGGTTTGGAGGACTGTGATTGGTTAGATTTTTGGAGGACTGTGATTGGTCAGAGCCAGGGCACCTGGACAGGTAAGGGTAAATCACTGAGCTGGCATGTATTCACACCAATATATGGATCTGAATCCTTCTCTGTTTGGTGTCTAGCGCCCCCTCTGGTCAGATCTGAAGTTTATTTCTCGACTCGTTAATTTCTCCAGTTTCAGACAAAACTGACGGTTTTCTACGTACAGACACTTTTACAGACAGTTTACTGACAGACTTCAGTTGTTGTTGAATTGATAAATCGATAAATTGATAAATTGATAAACCAATCAGCCTTCACAAGAATCCAGAAGCAGCACAGAACACGCTGCAGTTTGACTGACAGTGAAACACCTGTGAAGGTGAACTGTTCGCCGCACAGACACGCCTCCATCAGGATTATTGAACTAAACCCAAACTGAGCATGTGCGGACGGCACTGTGACATCACTACAGTCACTGATTAAGATCAATTAAAATCCATCGATTATTGGAGTATTGAACAGTACAATACTTCCTGATTAAAATCATGATTATTGATTATTGATTAATGAACTCTGTCTGTTTTTTGGTGGTTCAGTTTTCCCGCAGAGATCCAGTCGGGTCTGTTGGAGGTCGTCTCGCCTTCCGTCCATTTCTACCCCGACTTCTCCAAACTCAGAGAGTCCTTCGGAGACCCCAAGGAGAGAGTCAGGTCTGTGCGTGTGCGTGTGTGTGTGTGTGTGTGCGTGTGTGTGTGTGTGTGTGTGTGTGTGTGTGTGTGTGTGTGTGTGACTCTGCAGACTCTGTGATCCTGAGCTCGGGTTGATTCCTCTTCTTCCTCTCCTCCTCTTCCTCAGGTGGAGGACCAAACAAAACCTGGACTACTGTTTCCTGATGATGTACGCTCAGTCTAAAGGAACTTACTACGTCCAGGTGAGAAACATGGAAATCATTATTTTCACAATAAAAGCCTTTTTACAGTTGATAGGACATCATCTCTACCTAAACTTAAAACTCTAAAGTCTGAGTATTTAAAATATCTAATTAAAGTTATAAAGTCTGAGTATTTAAAATATCTAATTAAAGTAATAAAGTCTGAGTATTTAAAATATCTAATTTAAAGTTATAAAGTCTGAGTATTTAAAATATCTTCATTTAAAGTTATAAAGTCTGAGTATTTAAAATATCTAATTTAAAGTTATAAAGTCTGAGTATTTAAAATATCTTCATTTAAAGTTATAAAGTCTGAGTATTTAAAATATCTAATTTAAAGTTATAAAGTCTGAGTTCAGTTATAACGAGCGCCCCATGGGGAACCAACCGGCCCAAGCCGTGTCATGCCACCATCTTTGTGGACCGCTTTCCCAGGAGACCGCCGCCCTGTCCCAAAAATATCAGAGTATAGTGTAATAAAATCTCATAGTATCATATAATAGATATAAAGTACAGAATGATGAAAAAATCGTATCTTAGTTTAAAAAACTGTTAAAGTATTCTACGATCAAAATTCACATTTTAGTGTGAAACAAAGTCAGTATAGTATGTTAAAAATATCAAAGTATAGTATCTAAAGAACGTCATGGTAAAGTATTTTTTATTTTTTCACTTTTATTTCATAAATATATCGGGGCACGTTAAATACGTGAATTAAAGCTGGACCGTCAAATTTCAGGAGTTTTTGAGCCTGTCAGGAGGGTGAAAAGTTAAAAACAGGTTAGAGTTTAAAATAATAATAATGTCAATCATAATCATAACAAGTATAATAATAATAATAATAATAATTCCTGCAGTTTTAATAAAGCTCTCAGCCGTCGACTCGCTCCGTGAAAATAGGCGAAGGAGGATTAAAAGAATAAAAATTCATGGAGCGGCGTCTGTGAACTTCCTCTTTGGCGCTTCTTTAAATGTGATGAATGTGGACAGCCAATCAAATTCAAGTGTCTCTGATGAAACTCTGCTGCGGCCTGCAGCTGATGAAACTGTTGCATGGTGGGTAGAGTGATGGAGACTTTAATGGAGACGTCTCTGTGGCTTCATCACTCGTTCTTTGTCTCTCTGAAGATGAAAAGAAGAAACAGAAACGGCAGAGCTGCAGCTCAACTTCAGAAAAGTTTCACCTTCGTGTCAAAAACAGGATTTTTGAGGGACAGACAGCAGCTTAAACATCTGCTCAGTCAAATCTCTTCAGCCATCGTCTCTTTTTTCTAGAGTTTAAAAAACTCTCCCCTAAAATCTTCCAGTTTCTCTCCCGTCCCACACAGAGAGGATTCTCACCCGTCAGAACGTCTTTGACCCTCAGAGCTCCAAACACAGACGTGTCAGGAAACTGTTACCGACTCAGTTTATGTAAAATATCCAACAAATAAAAACAACAAAATCAGAAAAAGACGGTGAGTTAAAACTCGACTTTAAGGAGAAGGTAAAAAAAATGAGGCTTCAGTTTAAAAAGAGGCAAAAAAAATCAGCTGAAAAAAACTCAGAAGGAAACGAGAAACTTCATCTGAATCTGGAACAATCTAAGTCTATACCAGTCTGTCACAATCTAAGTCTATACCAGTCTATCACAATCTAAGTCTATACCAGTCTATTACAATCTAAGTCTATACCAGTCTATCACAATCTATGTCTATACCAGTCTATCACAATCTATGTCTATACCAGTCTATCACAATCTATGTCTATACCAGTCTATCACAATCTAAGTCTACACCAGTCTATCACAATCTAAGTCTATACCAGTCTATCACAATCTAAGTCTATACCAGTCTATCACAATCTAAGTCTATACCAGTCTATCACAATCTAAGTCTATACCAGTCTATCACAATCTATGTCTATACCAGTCTATCACAATCTAAGTCTATACCAGTCTATCACAATCTAAGTCTATACCAGTCTATCACAATCTAAGTCTATACCAGTCTATCACAATCTAAGTCTATACCAGTCTATTACAATCTAAGTCTATACCAGTCTATCACAATCTAAGTCTATACCAGTCTATCACAATCTAAGTCTATACCAGTCTATTACAATCTAAGTCTATACCAGTCTATCACAATCTATGTCTATACCAGTCTATCACAATCTAAGTCTATACCAGTCTATCACAATCTAAGTCTATACCAGTCTATTACAATCTAAGTCTATACCAGTCTATCACAATCTAAGTCTATACCAGTCTATCACAATCTAAGTCTATACCAGTCTATTACAATCTAAGTCTATACCAGTCTATTACAATCTAAGTCTATACCAGTCTATTTGATTTTATTAAGAGCTTCTGACTCTCTGATGAACATCTCTGTTTTATCGTCTAACAAGAACTTTCTCTCTCTCTCTCCCTCCCTCTCTCTCTCTCTCTCTCTCTCTCTCCCTCTCTCTCTTTCTCTCTCCCTCTCTCTCCCTCTCTCTCTCTATCTCTCTCTCTCTCTCTCTCCCTCTTAACCCTCCAGCTGGAGGACGATATCGTCGCTCGTCCGAACTACTTCACGACCATGAAGAACTTTGCGTTGCAGCAGCCGTCGGAGGAGTGGATGATCCTGGAGTTTTCTCAGCTGGGCTTCATCGGTGAGTCTCTGATTCACGAGTTTACGAGAGGACAGGAAGGACATGATGAGGACGTCCGTTTAAACAAAGATAGAAAAATGACAGAAGGACAGGACAGGAGGTTTTGGACTCGTCCATGTTTGTCTCCTTTCTCTGGAAAAGTGTTTTCTAATGTCCTGGTTCCTGTTTCTGAAACAGTCAGTAAAGTTTCTCTTCATGTGGTCGACTGGTGTTTGTTGGTCAGTGAGGGAGCGGACAGGTGTGTGTTTGTCGGCTGTAAAACACACCTGGTCTGAGTCCAGGATCACAGAGCGTTTCCACAGACGGACTGTAGAGTAAGAACGTTTCTGAAAACTGATCTCTGCTCCATCTGAGGGATCAATGAAGTTCAGCTGATCAATCGAAGCCTCGGCATCAAGAACTTCTGTTTTCCTGAGTCCAATCAGCTGACGCTGACATGAGTCCGATTGTTAATTTGAGCTGTTTCCAGATTGTACAGAAGGAATGCCGATTTCTCCTGATGGTGAAAAATGATCTATGAACACGTAGACAAGAAAAACAAGATGTCCGTCGACGTGAGTCGTTCTAGACTCGGTGACGTGATTCCTCATTTTTACTCTGTTCAAACAGAAAAATGTTAAAGAAAGAAGAACTATGAAGAGGCCTATATACAGATCTATAGTATAGATCTATACTATAGATCTGTTATCAGCAGCTAGGATAAGAGACAGTGGTTGGAGGAGGGGTGGTGATGTTTATGAATGTGTTGTAACTCATTACTATGAAGGAACAACACTGCAGTGACGACGTTAGCATGAGACCCTCGTTAGCATGAGACCCTCGTTAGCATGAGACCCTCGTTAGCATGAGACCCTCGTTATATCAATATTTTAGATCAATATTTGTTTATTTTATTTTTGTTGATTTTGGCCAAACTTTATTTGTGACTCTGTTGTCGGTTTACGACCTCTGCACAGAAAAAACAAGAACTACAACATCACAACCAGGAACATTTATATGACGTATATTTGAGCTTTAAACTCCACCTGCTGCTCCCTCTGATTGGCTGGAGGAGGCGGGGTTTATGACCTATCCTGCAAACAGTCATCAGGGGGCGCCGAGTCTTCACCCAACGAAGAGGCCCATGGGTCATCCTCACAGTCCGAGCGATCTTCCTGAACAGTCGTATCGCTTTTATTTTTCCACAGTCTGCTGTTGAACGGCTGTTTGCAGGAACGCTAGCTGCTGTGGCGAATCCTAACGTCTGCAGGAAGAGCTAACACTCACTAGCGTAGCTGTTCTATGCTAAGCTAGCTGCTGTGGCGAATCCTAACGTCTGCAGGAAGAGCTAACACTCACTAGCTTAGCTGTTCTATGCTAAGCTAGCTGAGTTTTGTGTGTTGCATGTGAAGTCACAGAGTTGACTTTAGTACCTTTATAAGTCCGATTATCTCAGAATCTGTCGTGGTCAAAGTCCTGCAGGTAGATGGGAATAAAGCGTCTGTTTGTGGGCGGGGCTTAATGAAGCAGGGGGGGTGTGTTTACATTAAAGGTTCCTCCCCTGAATCGTTCCTCATTCAAATGCTAATATATGTGATCACATCGTGAAAATTTCTGAGGTTTTTGCTGAATGTCACTTTAATTTATTAATAACTGTGTCTGTAATAAAATCAATATAAAACTATAATATATATTTATATTTATCTCTTAATGTGTGTTTTGAGTTCGACTGATCCGAATGAAAACAAAAATGATATTAAGACACACAAAAGTTTCCACGGAGATCCGGCAGTTTATTTTGACTGAACACTCAGAAAATGGAGGTGATTTCTAATTTTATCTCAGGTACAAAATATTTTATGAAATGTTGATCTATAATTTAGTTCCTGTCTGCTTTAGTTTCATTCCTACCATAAAATATTCAGAATAAATCAACGAGTTTAGTCAGAGAGTAAAAAATCTGCAGATCTTTTCGAGGCAAAAAGAGAAAAACAATAAAATCAATAAAATCAATAAAATTAAAGCAGAGGATTAAAATGTCGTTTCCTTCTCATAAAAAAAAACTCTTTTCAGTAAATTCAGAAGTTCTCATGGTGGGTCTGATCTTCATCTGAAGACTCTCTCTTGATTTTAACTGCATTTGTTGTAAATTAACTCTTTGTTATTGACGATTGATTGATTGATTGATTAATTGGTTGCTGTAAAAACATAAAACAGATTTTAATATTAATTTATACAAATAAAAGTTTTTAATTTAAACACATTTAAAGTGTTTTTGCTGTAAATGATTTACAGATAATAAAAATTCACCGTCTCAGAAAATTCGATTTTAACTTCAGAACAAATTTTAAAAAAGGTTCATGAACATGTAAATTAGTCGGAACCAGAACCAGAACCAGAACCAGCATTATTGTCCAAGTATGTGTGTACATAGACTAATTTAACTCCACTCAACTTTAATGTACAAACATTCAATGTGGGGGGGGCGCGGCACGGCGAGGACCGGACCGTCATCTCCACAGTCTTCAACAAAGGACCAACTGATCCACCTCCTGTAGACCCAAGACTGTGGAGTCTGACAGACGGGTCGACCCATAACGGGTCTCATGCGGGTTTAATTCAGACGCTCAGATTCGGTTTGAGTTTGAGGGGGGGGATTCGGACGCCTCGCTGCACAGATCAGAGCAGGAATGAACTTCCTGTTGCTGAACTTCCTGTTGACCTCTCAGTTCACCTTCATCAGTTCGTTGGTCTTTTGGTTCTGGGTCGGACTTTGAGTTCCTCCAGATCCGAGAAAACCGACCAATGAGCAGAGAGGAAACTGTGTGATGAGTGTAGTTTAGTTTAAAATGTCATTTCACATTAATTAATTTGTCTAAAGTCTCTAAAAATAAATGTAATGAAGTCCTTTTAAAAAATAATTGTAATATTTGAATAAGAAGAAGAAGAAAAGGCGTTATTGGGTTTTGGAAGAAGACGTGAAACTTCGCCCGGCGTTCGCTTATGTATTCAGCTACAACATCCGCCACAGACGGCGTGGGCGTGCTCTGTTGACGTTTCCTGCTCTGCGCCTCTTCCGGTCTCAGTTAAACCCGACGTGAAGAAACTCTTTGCCGATGAACCCCCTCTTCAAATTTGAGCGTAACCCGCTATGCCGATCGCGCTCCGAAGTTTTCAGATATTTAAAAAAAATCTGTTTTGAACCGTTTATCAGGATTTTGGCGTCAAATATCGAGACGATCACGAAACATCGTAACTTTGGATTTTCTGCTGTAAATGAAATAATTTCCCCCTTTAAACGTTGAATTCTTGGTGAGCGTAGAGTGAGAGTTTTCCATTAAAGGTGCATTCCACTAAACTTCAGCATGTTCTTCTCTGACAGGAAAGATGTTTAAGTCTCTGGATCTGTCGCTGATCGTGGAGTTCATGCTGATGTTCTACAAAGACAAACCCATCGACTGGCTGCTCGACCACATCATGTGGGTCAAAGTGTGTAATCCAGAGAAAGACGCGGTGAGTCGCTCCTTACATTATCGCTCAAATAATGACTTTAACGCTCCGAGAACCTGCAGACAATCATGGATCAGCATCTGGAGAGGAAACATCCCTGCAGAAAAACAGTCTGAGTTACTCTGCAGAGAAATACAGTTTATTAAATTATATTAACATATAATTAATAAAAATATATAATGAAACTAATATGTAATATTTCTTTATTCAAGAAAAAAACATCAAGTCGGTTTTACCTGCAGAGAAACAGTCAAAGAAATTGTGTCTGTAATGAGACTGACTTTTGTTTTCCTCTTTTTTCTTTTTGTCGGTTTATTTGACGTTTTTTTGTCGGTTTATTTGACATTTTTTTGTCGGTTTGTTCGTCCCTCAGAAACACTGTGACAGACAGAAAGCAAACCTGAGGATCAGATTTAAACCATCTCTCTTCCAGCATGTCGGCACTCACTCCTCCCTCGCTGGAAAGATCCAGAAACTCAAGGTAATGAAGGTGTGTGTCTGTGTGTGTGTGTGTGTGTGTGTGTGCGTGCGTGTGTGTGTGTGTGTGTGTGTGTCTGTGTGTGTGTGTGTGTGTGTGTGTGTGTTTGTCACACACACAGCTGGACTCACAGATTCACACGTTTGTTTTTCCAAATGGAGGTAATTTTATTATTTATGTCGACAAACATTCAAAAACCCTAACGGACCTTTCTTCCAGGATAAGGACTTCGGCAAACAGACGCTCCATAAAGGTCACGCCAACCCGCTGGCGGAGGTGACGACCAGCCTGAAAACCTACCAGCACTTTACTTTGGAGAAAGCGTACCTGGGAGAGGACTTCTTCTGGGCCTTCACACCTGTGGGAGGGGACTTCATACGGATACGCTTCTTTACACCCGTCCGCATCGAAAGGTTGGCATCAGGAATGTAGAGGATGTCAGGTCAAAGGTCACCTGGTGTGACAAGCTTACCTCCATGGTCTTCAGAAGTCTGATGTTAGTGTTGCCAGGTAACAAGAGGAGCAGGTGTCGTCATTTCAGACTCAGAGGGACCAGGATAAAAGTTCTTGGTGGTTTTTTAGTGTAACTCACAGCGGGGAGGGGAGAGACGGGGTGACGGGAATCAGAGGACGCCAAACGTTGACGTGGTCCTAGAGACAGTGACAGTTAGTGGTCCAGGGAGACACCAAAGGGGATTAAGTTCTCAGGAGTACCAGACATTGGTGCAGGTTTGTTCCGCCACCAAAGACCTGGTACTGGTTCCTCTCTAGAAGAAAGTCAAGATGAGGAACCGTAGGCAGGGCTGAGTGAAAAGAGTTCTGGTACTAAAGTCACCGTTAACCACAGCTTTCCTGTAGATCAGAACTGGTTCTGTGGACCTTATGGGTTTTACGAGGAATGGGTTGGATAAAACCCGGTGCTGAACTCCTCCGGTTCTGTGGTGATACCGTGGAAATAGTTCTGGAAATGAAAGAAGTATTGACTAATGTACGCAGAGACACGACGACGTGGACCTTTACAGCCCCAACGGTTCTTCAATGGTTCTCAAACTGAACCAGTTCTGAACCAACCGGGAACAAGTACTGGAACCAGCAGACGTCACTCTGGGCGCTGAGATTGAACACGCTCATATTTTGGTGAACTTCGCTCATTTTGAAATTCCTTAATGAGAGCATGAGCGAAGTTCACCCTGGAGTCAGACGACAGGTCAGAGGTCACAGAAGTTCCCGGGAGTTACTCTGAGTTACAGCAGTCGAGGTCGGACATACGGACGCCGGCGATACTAACATGTCATAACTGATGATGATGATGATGATGATGATGAAGCATCGACACTCAGAGCCAGTTTAGTTTCAGAGAGGGTGAAATAAAAATGATTTCTCCTTCATCGTCGGTAACGGAGCAGATTTCCCTGTTTGGGTTAAAGGTCAAAACCTTCCGTGATATTAAGGGACAGTCCGTCTACTTTCTCTACCTCTGCATCGAACCCAGGGTCATTTTCCTGAAGATGTGTTGAACAGACTTTATGCCTCTCTTTTTTATTTCTAGGTTCTTCTTTCGGAGCGGAAACATCGAGCACCCAGGAGACAAACTTTTCAACACTTCAGTGGAGGTTCTGCCATTTGATGTGAGTCCTGAAACTTAGACCAGAGTGTGAAACTTTCACTCATGAACAGAGTCTTGATATCAGACAGAAGCAGGTCAAGAAAAATGGACCCAGGTGAAAATTAACATCAATTACATCAACCTTTCTAGACCAGTTTTCACAAAGTTCTTCAGGATCATCAAATTAAAAAGAGTTTGACAATAAAACCTCAAAATCAACAAAAATCACACAAGTAGGTAAAATTAAACAAAGACACGTTCAGACAAACGGGTTTTTAACCGTTTTTAACGTGTCCGAAGTCCAAAGTTTCAGAGTAAAAACTCGAACCTAAAGTGTCCTTTGGTCCAAAAACAGGAAACAGATCCTCTCAGAGTTTAATCAGGACCTCTCTGTTTGGACTGAACAGTCTTCTGGTTTTTGGACCAGAACCTGAATTTTCTGGTGTCGGTGAGGTAAATATGGCGGACGATAAGATGATGGTTGATTGATTGTCAGCGGTGACAGGAAGTCCTGCTGAAATCAACACAACAGAGAGGAAGAAGAAAGACACAAAACACACCGACCAACACTTAGAGCGGCGGGATAGATGACTGTGAAGGAGAAGGCGGTTTCCATGGTAACGCTGACCAGAAGAAGAGAAGAAGGAGGAGCCAATGATGAGAAAGAGGATGTTGTAGATAGAGACGATAAAGCAGCAAAACAAGAAAAGCTGATATATTTGTTTAGGTTTGGAGAGAAAGTCAGAGAAATCGAGACGTTGAATTTTTTTTTCATCAATTTAAAAAGTTTCAAGGAAAAAAAGTTTTAAAGCCTCAAAATGAGATCGGAGGTGGAAACAGACAGAAAACAAACAAAAACAGACGGAAGACAAACAAAAACAGACGGAAAACAAACAAAAACAAAAACGGAAAACAAACAAAAACAGATGGAAAACAAAAACAGACAGAAAACAAACAAAAACAGACGGAAGACAAACAAAAACAGACGGAAAACAAACAAAAACAGACGGAAAACAAACAAAAACAGACGGAAAACAAACAAAAACAGACGGAAGACAAACAAAAACAGACGGAAAACAAAAACAGACGGAAGACAAACAAAAACAGACGGAAGACAAACAAAAACAGACGGAAAACAAACAAAAACAAAAACAGACGGAAAACAAACAAAAACAAAAACAGATGGAAAACAAACAAAAACAGACGGAAGACAAACAAAAACAAAAACAGACGGAAAACAAACAAAAACAGACGGAAAACAAACAAAAACAGACAGAAAACAAACAAAAACAGACAGAAAGCAAACAAAAACAGACAGAAAGCAAACAAAAACAGACAGAAAGCAAACAAAAACAGACGGAAAACAAACAAAAACAAAAACAGACAGAAAACAAGCAAAAACAGACGGAAAACAAACAAAAACAGATGAGAACAAAGATCTCGATCTCCTTAATCTGATCTGAAAAAAAAAACAAAGAAAATTTACAGTCGACTCCAAAGATCGGAGAATTTCATCGCAGAGTGACGAATTCATTTGAAGATCAAAAACGTTTTAATTTAAACTGAAGAAGCGGAAGTAAATAACTATGACAGTGTGTGTGTGTCTGTGTGTGTGTGTGTGTGTCTGTGTGTGTGTGTGTGTGTTCTCTCAGAATATCCAGGCTGAAAAAGAGGCCTTAACAGAAGGGAGGGAGAAAACGCCAAAGTACCATCGGACTGAAGACGGATTCATCAGAATAGGTGAGTGAAGACGTCACGTCAGCTGATCTACCTGCTCATTCCTGCCAACCCGAACTCTAAACCTGAACCCGAACCCGAGCTCTAAACCCGAACTCTAAACTCGAACCCTAACCCGGACCTAAACCCTCCAAATAAACGATGGTTCGATGGTTTGATGTGATCCTGATGAACGAAACGAAGTTAAAGAAACGACGATCAAAGATCTGAAAGTTATTCAGGACAAGTTTCCACTGCTGCTGTCTGTGTGTGAGGACAAACACACACAGACACACACAGACACACACTGACAGACACACACAAACACAAACACACACACTGACACACACAGACACACACTGACAGACACACACAAACACAAACACATGAAGACACACACACACACACACACACATACCGCTCGTCAGTGAGTTTGGTGACGGTGTACTCAGTCTTGATGCTCTGAGACTCCGCCCCCGTGGCGTTGGGGCGATGGCGGTTTTTAAGTTTCACTCTTGAAGTTCAAACTTTTGACGTTTCAACAACGTCTTCGTCTTCAAAAGCAAAATTCCTCTGAAATGTCGGAAACAAATCGTTTTTTATCTCCGAAACTTCAAAGGAGGATCGTAAAGAAAATGTTGAGATCGGATTAAAGCGAATTTTCTGAGAAAACCGACGAACTCCCAAATATTCAGGATGAACATGAAGAAAACGCTGCAAACAAAAAAAACAACATTAAAATTAAAGCGCAGGAACGTCAGCAGCGTCCTCTGAGTTCATTCATTCATTCATTCATTCATTCATTCATTCATTCATTCTTTCATTCATTCATTCAGTCGTTATTTTTCGTCTTTCTCAGGAAACTTCCAGAATGGGATCGCAGAGGGAGAGGTCGACGCCACCTTTGGTCCCCTGGAGGCCATGCGTCTGTCGGTGCTAACGGACTCGCCGGTCTGGGTGATCCTCAGCGAGGTGAGAGCGTCCGGGTGCGACTGTGATGATTAATTCACCGATAAATAAACCAACGGTCTGTTGAAGCTAAAGAGTAAAATCAGAAATATTTAAAGAAAACAGTCGGAGTTTAACGTTGATTTTATAACGAGGTCGAGGATCAGACAGCCGCTCCGAGTTCTCCTGAAGATGATGATGAAATCCACTCAGGAACTTTATTCTCCAACTGTCACTCACACGGTCTCTCAGAGAGTCCTGAACCTGATCCTGATCCTGAAGGTCCGTCTTAGACCCGGTCATGTGATCCGGTCATGTGATCCGGTCATGTGACTAACATTCTTGTTCATCTAAGAACTTTTTAGAAATGTGTTCCTGACACTGAATTGAAAATATTTGGTTCTTACTGGTTCTGTTTGGTTCTGTTTGGTTCTTATTGGTTCTGTTTGGTTCTTACTGGTTCTGTTTGGTTCTTACTGGTTCTGTTTGGTTCTGTTTGGTTCTGTTTGGTTCTTACTGGTTCTGTTTGGTTCTTACTGGTTCTGTTTGGTTCCTTTCAGATCTTCATTAGGAAAGCAGAGTGAGGCTCCGCCCCCTCCTCCTCCCACCCAGCGATACCTCAGCACGTCTGAGCGATCAGCTGAGCTGACGACAAAGGTTCACCAGAAACCCACCATGATGCCACAGCGCCCTGGTGTGGCGGGTTCTGGGTACTGCGGGCTGAAGAGCTCAGACTGAAACCACAGAAACAGAAACAGACTGAAGGACCCTGAAGGACCCCGAGGAACCCTGAAGGACCCCGAAGGACCCCGAGGAACCCTGAAGGACCCAGAGGAACCCTGAAGGACCCTGAAGGACCCCGAAGGACCCTGGGGAGTCTGTATTTATGTGTACATACAGTTAGTCCATGTTCAACACTGGTGTTGGTTCACTCTTCATCACCTGGAGATAATAATGCTGCTGATGATGATGATGAAGATGGAGATGATGAAGATGAAGAAGAATCTGCTGCTTCTCAGACTCAGAGGCCTCACTCTCTCTACGGACCTTTTTACCCGAAACTCAGAGCTGATCTGTGTGTGTGTGTGTGTGTCTGTGTGTGTGTCTGTGTGTGTGTGTGTGTGTGTGTCTGTGTGTGTGTGTGTGTGTCTGTGTGTGTGTCTGTGTGTGTCTGTGTGTGTGTGTGTGTGTGTGTCTCTGTGTGTGTGTGTGTGTGTGTGTGTGTGTCTGTGTCTGTGTGTGTGTGTCTGTGTGTGTGTGTGTGTGTGTGTGTGTGTGTCTGTGTGTGTCTGTGTGTGTGTGTCTGTGTGTGTGTGTGTGTGTCTGTGTGTGTCTGTGTGTGTCTGTGTGTGTGTGTCTGTGTGTGTGTGTGTGTGTGTCTGTGTCTGTGTGTGTGTGTCTCTGTGTGTGTGTGTCTGTGTGTGTGTGTGTGTGTGTCTCTGTGTGTGTGTGTCTGTGTGTGTGTGTGTGTGTGTGTGTGTGTGTGTGTGTGTGTGTCTGTGTGTGTCTGTGTGTGTGTGTCTGTGTGTGTGTGTGTGTGTGTCTGTGTGTGTCTGTGTGTGTCTGTGTGTGTGTGTGTCTGTGTCTCTGTGTGTGTGTGTCTGTGTGTGTGTGTGTCTCTGTGTGTGTGTGTCTGTGTGTGTGTGTGTGTGTGTGTCTGTGTGTGTGTGTGTGTGTGTGTGTGTGTCTGTGTGTGTGTGTGTCTGTGTGTGTCTGTGTGTGTGTCTGTGTGTGTGTGTGTGTCTGTGTGTGTGTGTGTGTCTGTGTGTGTGTGTGTGTGTGTCTGTGTGTCTGTGTGTGTGTCTGTGTGTGTGTCTGTGTGGTTGCTGCTCAGGGTTCGGGTCGTTTTGCCTTAAAGAACAAAAAGCAGATTTACTTCAAACAAGCCCTGAAATACTGCAACATGTAGCGACAACATCTCCCACAATCCTTTGCTGCGACCTCTGACCTTCTGACATCTTTGTGGCTTAAACTACTGAGTTCATCGTTTTTCTCTTTTCTTTCTAAAAGTGTTTATAAAAATGTTTTAGAGTTTTCTGAGGCCTTTAAAGAACAACTGTTCCACTCTGTAGTACTCTGACATGTACTTTAAAGAGTACTCTACACGACTCTAAGAAGTACTTCACATTAAAGTACTCTTACTTTTAAGTACTGCCTGTTACTTTGCAGCAGCTCTGTGTAAGTTCGACTGAAGTCACAGGTACGATCCTCGCACCTCCTGCAGCCAATCACAGAGCAGCACCTGAGCTCAGTGTTTAATAACAGACACATGAACATTAAAAATCACCATCATGGCGTTTTCAGGAAACTCTTGGCTCCGCCTCCATGTTTACGTCGGACAGGTCGACTGTTTGAATGTTTTGATATGATGGAGCAGCTGTTGTAGCTTTAGTCAGCTCTGATTGGTGGAGGAGAAGCTTCTTTTCTTTTCTTGTTTTCACTCAAATCGACTTTTTTAATCAACAACTAAAAACTGCAGGAAGGATTTTATTTATTTTATTTGACCACAACAGCAAAAAGCAACAAAACTGTATTAATAAAAGAAAAATGACTCAACTCTTTGCAGACATGCGCATCTGTTGTTGAGGACAGCGACACGCTGCTCCACGCTGCTCCACGCTGCTCCACGCCGTTTCTGGCCCTTTATCTGCGGTTTACAGCGGTTTAAGGTTCAGAGTCTTGAGGAGTCTCAGAAATGATCTTCCTGTCGTACTTTACTCCATATTCACATTCACGAGGTCTCAGACGACATGTTTGAAGAAACGCTTTGTCGGCGCCCGCCATACGGTCTTTGTATGTCAGGGAAGCCGGCGGCCATATTGAAGAGCTGCAGCGAGGAAAAGCTTTGGATGAAAACTGGTTCGTCTGACTGTCGGCGGCCGCAGTGATACTCCTGAAGCTCCTACAAAAAAAACAGACGAGTTTCTGTCACGTTGTCATGGTGATCGTTAGCGTCTCTGAAAACAGGAGAGCAAATCTACGTCGACATTTCCGAAGGATGTTATCGATCCTGAACATCATGAATATTTGCTCCATCTCCAAATCATGTCGTCTCTCGACAGGATCGCCACGGTAACTGTTGATCTGTGGAGGAGGACGTCACGCCTCCTCGGGTCGACGCCGGAACCTTCTCAGCTGGTGCCGCCCAAAAAAACTCCATCCTGAATTTAACTTTACCTTCAAACTTACACAAAGCTGGTGCAACCCAGTACTGCTCAGTACTACAGTACTACAGTACTACAGTACTACAGTACTGCTCTGTCAGAGTCCATGGTGCTCTGGGTACTTCTGCTCACTTCTTTGAAGTACTTTTACAAATCCTTTCCAGAATTACTCTGTTCGACTCCCCAGTACTTACGCGATACTTTTTTGTACTCTGGTACAAACTTTACTGTCAGACTGTAGAGTACTCCTACAAGAACTCAACAGTACTGCTTGGTACTGGTTTGCAGATTGTAAGACAAACATTAGAGTAATAATCTATAAGAGTACTTCAACATTTAATTTACAGTACTGATCAGTATTCACCAGACAGCTCAGTACATCGCTGTACTGCTTGGTACTTAACAGTACACATGTTCATAGTAGAACTCATATGTTCTTCACAGTACTGCCCAATACTACACAATAATGATTAGTACTCATAGTCTACTATTCTGCTCAGTTCTGATAAACCTCTGGTACTATGATGTACTTGTACTTAACTTCTTCCTAAAAATAAAGTACTTTGAATTACTGAATAGTACCCTCAATATTTTTTAATCCACAGTTTGTTCTGTAGTAGTTTTTTTTTCTGCACTGAAATAAAATGTTTGTACTTGATTTAATATACACCAGTTATTTTTTACTTTGAAATACTCTAATGGAATACTCTAATGTACTGTGAATGAAATGGTAATTTACAGTACTCTTTACAGTACTATGTGGAACTCTATCATTAGATATCAATTATTATGCAGTACTGTGATTTTAAAGAGTTCAGAGTAGTGGGCAGTATTTTATAGTGACCTGATCTACATCTGCTCCTCAGTACTTCATAGTACTCTGAAGGTCTGTGATAAACTATGTAGTACTGTCATTACTCTGAAGTAGTCATAGTATTGTACTAAAGTGTACTTTGTGTTACTTTTAGAAAATCTGTAGTACCTCATTGTCCCGATTCACAACCAAACGATCTCAGCCAAGGAGAAGCTGCTTTTGACTTTAATATTAATCAATATTAATAATAATCAATATTAATAATAATCAATATTGATTTACCTGATTTTGTTCAAACCCCAGATCCAACGAGGTTGGGCTGTTTCTGAAGTTTCTGAATCCTTCTCCAGATAAATTCACCGCAGTCCAAACTGAAGAACTTGATTGTTTCTCGGTGAATTTTCACTCGTTTCCAGTTTGAAGTTTTAACTCGTTTGTTTGTTCAGGATCAACAAAAAGACCTGAGGACTGCTGTTTGGATCATCCTCTGGTGAACAGGTTCACTGGAAACAGGTGAGGGTAAAAAAAGAGCATCAGGAGAGTTCAGGTTCATCACTTTGTCAACACCTGCGTGAGCAAACGGTCCAACAGATCGACGGTCCAAACCTCTGCATGTAAACGGACCCTAAACGACCTTTGACCCCTCCATCGTATGGAAACACAGTTCATCTCTACAACTCCAAGTTCAACTCGACCATGCAAAGACAAAAACAGAAATCTACCACAGTCAGAACCAGCGCCGACTCCTCTGGACCCGGGCTCGTCTGAGACGGACTGAAGGATTCGTCTCCAAAGCTTCAGCGGTCCGGGTCCTCGGTCCACAAAGGGTTACTGAGTACCATTAAAGGAACCAGGCAGGAACCAGAACCCTGAACCAGGTTTTTAGGAATGAGTTACAGCGTCAAACTCAACATCAGTGAATATTTACAACAAAACAATCATCAGTTTTAACAGTAAATATCTTTGTAGAGAAATTCAAGTCAATTTAAAGATCGCTGTTTTTTTTACACAGGTCCAAACTTTATCGGAATTTGAGTTTGAAATTTATTGCATTACTTTTTTGGCATTATTAAAATAGATATTAACATTTTTAGATCTTAAGTGTACTTCACAGTACTTCAAAGTACTTCAATGTCCTCTGATGTAAAAACTCACCTTGGAGTTTGGAATATATTTCACAGTACTTTAACATTCTCAGCAGTAGTCAAATGTACCTCCCTGTACTCTAAACTACTCTAATGTAATTAACAAAGCTCTTTACAAGACTGCCTGGTATAAAACATGACTCCACTATGCTAACCTTTACTTTGGTGTACTGTAGTTTCCAGTTCAGTACAGAAAAATGAAAAAAACAAAAAACTAAAATCATCTTTTCTTTGTTTCATATTTTAACTTTAAATAAGAAGAAAACAGAAGCAAACAACTCTTTATATGAACCCGTGTCTCTCTCTAATGTTACGGACTGTGCCTTATTTCAGTGTGGTTTATAATGATCTATATCTTAATGCAAATATAAAGAATATAAATTTAGAAATTTTGTTGTCAAACCAAATTATGTTTCAAAGTTCATCTAAATGTGTTGTAGAAACAGAATTGTTAGTAACTTCACAGACTTGAGCAGGTTGTGAGTATTTAGATGTTTTCAAAACTGAGAATTCTAGAACTTTAACTTTTTCTAAAAATACACAGAATCTGTTCTCTAATAATCTTTATAACATAAAGTGTTATTAAACCCAGAATATAAAAGATGCTGTTTATTCCTTTAGACTAAGTAAAATGCATTATAACCCATATTGTTATAAGTCATTATGCTAACTGCAAATACCACTTCTTAATAATTTCTATAAGCTGTTATGACTGCGAATAATAACTCATGAGGTTTGTTCTGAAGACTTCTAGAAGCATCTAGAAACATGCTTGTGATCCATTATCAGAGCTGGGTTCATATACTTACTTCATATTCATCTTAGTCTTTGTCTTCAGTCTGTCGCCAAAATTTAAATTCAATCAATAATTAATAATGAACCTCGATTTTCATATTTCCAGAGTACTGGAGTGGCCATAGTAATAAAACACTTTGCAGATAAATTGATCAATCAGTGAATTAATTAATCGATTAACTCATTCATTCTTCATGTATTCATTCAACAGAACTTTGTCAGATTTGACGTAAACTTAGATTCGTAAGTTTCAGGAAACATCACGGTTCTTTTGTAAGAGGCATGTGTTGCTATAACCTTGAGTGTGTCTTTTGTATCTTTAGATAAACTATTGAAATAAACTTCGAGAATCTCTGAATTGTAATAAAGAGAAATTAAAAAGATCTTTTCTGGCGCAGTGTTTTTTCAGACAATTATATTTATATTTACTTATTTAAAACTTTGTTTTTTTAGAATTACATACCTTTCATATATTCTTGTTTGAATTTTAGGTTACGCGGGGGGGACCTGTCCCCTGAAGTAGGGGCTCAGACACGCACGGACCTTCCCCCCAATGTCTCTGTGTTCGGTTCTGGTCCGTTTTTTAAGTTGGTCTCATAACGTGGGCGTCTGCCCTGCACTTCTGTCTGTGAGGGGCGATCCAAAAGTAAATGAATGCACACTGCACTTGTAATTTTATCTGAACCAGGCCTATGTGGGTCAAACAGACTTAGCCCTTCCTCCCTGTCTCGCTCATCTGGATGATGTGATGAGAAGATAATCCCACACATATCTCATCTTTTGATAGCTGAGTGCAGCGGATCATTTCCACAACGTAATAATCATCATATTAATCATTTTACAGACGCGGTAGTTCTTCTGTCTTAGCGTCTCGGTCTGATTGTATTTCTATGAAGAAATGATCATAAATGTTCTTCCTTGAGCTGCGAAACTTCGCTGCACTCTGTGATTGACTTGTCAGGTCTCACCAACAAACAAGCGGCTGCTGGAAGAGAGTAGGTGAGTTGTGTTTAGTCTCTTTGCTCTCTGGAGGGGGTGTCTAACTCTGTGTTACAGTGTGTTTGACCCTAACCTAATTTTATGCCGGGATATCCCTTTACAGGGAATTTAAGAATTCCTGTTTGCAAAAATTTTAAAGTGAGCCGACTCACAATGGCTAATAAACGCTGACTATCTGTAAAAGCTGACTTACTGTATTTAAAGCTATCTGACGATGTTAAAAGCTGATTCACTGTGTGGGAGAATTTCAAACTTATGCTCAGGAAATCCAACATCACCACCGAGGGACTTTCGCATACGTAGTTTACAGAGTTTCACCTGTAAGAGTTGGACCTGTAAGTGTCTGCTGAACGAAACAAAAGGGGTTGGTGATGAATTTGTAATGAAAGTTTGAGTCTCTTATTGAATGAATTGATTGCAAAAGTTTATTACAAACAGTTTTTTTAACAGTTAATCAATAACAGACTTTCAGATGGTTAGGGTTTAGGGGTTAGGGGGTTAGGGGGTTAGGGTTAGGATTACGGGAAAAGGGGGACTGTCTCCTAGAATAGGAGACAGGAGGTGCACGGTCCATCCCCCTGTTCCCCGTCCCCCACGACCCCGTTTGGTACTGCTGATTAGTGCGGTACGGGCGTCGACCACGTCTTCTCCCGTATCGCACTTCAGTCCATTGTTCTTGGTCGTAAGTCATGATTGTTGTTTTAACCTTTTTAATTTATTTATTGTTATTTATTAATGTGGTGTATTGACTAAACTATTTATTTATTTATTTATTGGTCTATCTACCTATCTAATTTATTTATTTATTGAAATCAAGGTATTTAAAACTAAAACAGTATAACAAAATAAATGAATTGTTCTTATTTTCTTATGCTTTTTTGTTTTTTTGTGAAATAAAAATGAAATCAAATGAAATTAAAGAAAGAAAACTGAATAAAATGTCTATGAAGACGGAGAAATAAAGAAAAGGTGTGAAAAAAGTGCCCAGTCGCGACGTTTCGACCGCTGTGGGTCTTCTTCAGGCTATGGGCACAACAAGAAATATGTCCGGGCTTGTTTTAGTGTGTGTATGAGATGTTTTCTCTTCAGGAGACATATGAGAAGTGAAGAAGGGTTAGGGTTAGGGATATAGGGGTATGTGCCACTTTTGACATGCCGGTTCATTGCCTTTCCCAATGATGAATTGGGGTGAGATTTGGTCTACCCCCCCCATTTTTGGGTATGCTGAATCTAGAAATAGTAATGAACCAGCGATCGGACATTCCTATCAAAAGTTATGGCGAAATGGAAATTTCCCATTGAAAATGAATGGGAGCGGAAAATGGCCAAAGTCAGTGTTTGCAAGTGTTCTACTTTGTCTGGAAATGTTGAAAATGGGTTGTGAGCACGTTTCAGGCCATTTCCTGTCGTTTGAGGGTTAGCTTCTCGGAGTGCTCCTGTGTTAGGGTTAGGATTGGGGAATGACTCCCGTCTCCCTCCAAGTTTCGACCCGACTTGGGTCTTCTTCAGGTCTGTGCACACATAAGAAAGGGCTGCTGGGCACCAATTCATAGGTGTTGACAGCAGCTAAAAAAAGAAGAAATGTCCCTGTTCTCTTCTCACCTTTTATACCTTTTAACAAATAATTAACTAAATTTCTCGGATATTTTATGTTACTTTCTACTCTATTTAATTTGAAAATGTTAACCCTTTAACTGCTGATTCTTATTAATCCAAAATAATATATTTATGTTTAACCTGAGGTTAGGATTAAGGCAGCGTTTCTCAAAGTGTATGGCCCGCCCCCCCAGGGGGGCGCGGAGCCATCTTTAAGAAGCTAACAAGTGGAGGGGATGCAGGGGGTGCATCTACGGCAGGGGGTGCATTCTACGGCATAACACCTGTTAAGTATGCTGCTATCCCCACCT